ATTGATTTTTAGTAAAAATATTTTCAAAATTGATCTAAAAAATAATGTAATTCCTGTGTTGGTTATAGCAATCTGGAAAACATTTTCACAGTCTTCCTATTCTCTTTGGTAATGAAATTTTCATAGCACTTACAGAAAACTTTAGAAATAATGACATTTTAGTTACATAAAACAATTTTGACCCAGTTTTGTGTCATCAAAAACAGAGCAGTATAATTTCTTGTGGGACTACATCCCACCAGGTTGTAGGAATGTTGTGTCCAGGTACAAAAGGAAAACTTTGGCATACTAAATCCCTGAACTTTTCAAATCCTGTGAGGAAGGGCAACTTAGCAGGATGAGAGGGAGCTCTGAACTCACTGGGCCCTTGGCCTGCATTCAAACTTTCTTACTGAGGAGCATTGTGACTCAGAGGGCTCTTCTATATGTTTGTAGCCAAAATATCCATTCAGAATAAGTGGGCATGACCAGTCTGTCTTCCTACTGGACTGTGTACACCTCAGGAGGAAGGACTATTATTCTAGCTTTGCTTTGCTCATCTGTAAGATGGGAATAATTTGGAGCACCTCCACGATGCCTGGCAGGTTTAATAAGGCAATGTACATAAAAGCACCTGACACTTGTTCTCAACAGCACAATAATTATTGTTTGTGTCTGTCATTCCTGTGATAGTGTAGTGCCCTTTCTTCCTAACTAGTGCTACAATCAAGGATGTCTTCATGTGACATGCATAACAACCACCCATATGTAAACTCAGGCTGGCCTCAACCAATCTGTCTCCATAAGACCTTCCATCAACTCTCTGACTCCAGAGTTGGGATGTTTTAAAACATATAGTTAATACCATAAGTTGGCAAACTGGTTTTATAAAAAAAAAACAACCCAGCATTATGGCTATATTAAGATTTTATGGAAACTATCCAGGCATTCTCGACAGCATGGTTTAAAACACAGGAGCTGCTCAGTTAAATGGGGGTCTCGATGGTTTCCACCTGGATATAGTCCAAATGCTAACAACCAAGTTTTACAAAGGAGCTTGATATTTGGAGCTGCCATCTCCTCAACAGTACTCACAAACAAGTTAAGAACTAACTGGATGTACACCCTTGAGTTCATGGAACCTGCCTGAAAATCCTTTTCAGGGCAACTTAATGCATCTTATCTGTTCCTATCTATGATGGCCCATAAAAGACCAACAAGGTCATGCATTTGGGAAGGCCATTGAACTGACAGGTAAATGGCAAGATGTTATAATCCACTGGATGAATCAATCTAACTGAACAAAGAAAATCCAAGTTCTTCAGTTTGGTTATGTTTTCTTACTCATTGCTCTTTAATAACTTCATTAAGAAACTACAGGTGGTGGGCACCTGTAGTCCCAGCTACTCAGGAGGCTGAGGCAGGAGAATGGCGTGAACCTGGGAGGCGGAGCTTGCAGTGAGCCGAGATTGTGCCACTACACTCCAGCCTGGGGGACAGAGCGAGACTCTATCTCAGGGAGCAACAGGGGAGGGGAGGGGGCGGGGGAGCGGGGGGTGGGGGAAGAAAAAGAAAAACTACAAAGTAACACAATGTCTGGTGAGTCCATTCAGAACCTGAATCCTGTCATTGAAATAAACAGATCTCTTTGAGACAGAATAGACAGACATGATATTACTGTGTAAACATACAATTCCACAGCCGTGAAAATCACAATTTCACCTTCTTATGCCCATGCTTCACCCTGTTTTTTGGGACAGAGACATTTTTGAGGGAGATTAGAAACACCGTTTGATTTAGAAGACCTAGGTGGGGCCTGTTCCAAGACTGTAACACAGCTCAGAATCATAGAGGCTGAGGGGTGGGAGATCAACTTTTCTCCTCCAGAAAGTATTGATGATTAAAGTTAAATGTATTTTTATGTTGCTAGATTTAATTACTAAAAAGTATAACTGCTTAAATTTGAACACTGACAAGTGTTTGTTGGTGTAGCTGCATGTGTAGACACATATACTCATTAATTTGTTTAATTCCCTTTAAGAGACTCTGTTTATATAGTTTAAAATAAAAATAAATTCTCCTGTGATTTAACCTCATATCTTCTGTATACTAGGTCAGTGCTTTCCCCCACAACACCACAACTGACAGAAAGGAGGGGATTAAACCTAGGTCTCCAAACTTCCCCAATCAGTACTCTTGCCTCGTAAGCATTCAGAGTTCCAGCTGAAGCAGGTAGGATGTCATGGCATGAATGGGCACTGATAAAAAGCACTGTATGCCAATGGAGTACACTGAGAAGAAAAATACCCAGTTTTCCAAAAAGCCAGTCATATTGTTGGGGTCAGGGTCAGAGACAGCAGTAATTGTCAAAAAGAAAGAGGGAGACTGGCTAGTTCCAAGTTTATACTCAGGCACACTGTGGCCAATGTTTTCAGACCTGGTGCCCATGTGTATAATCCTTATAAACAATGCATACTCCAATGGAAGATCTGCGTTTTGTCAACCAGGGAAAACAGGCCAAGATGAGGAAAAGTAATGAAGTGTCCCAGTAATTAAGGGATTCTGTTTTACAAGACTCTAATCTCTCTTTACTGCACTAAGTGTCAGGAGTGTGCTTAGGACACTTTCTGGCCTTGGGTCTTTCCTGCATCACGGCTGACTTACAGGCTGCTTCTCACCAAGGTGCAGACATTAGCAGTCTGTTTACACTCAGAACAATCTTAATCACCTGGAGGATTACCCTGTCAAATGGAAAATCCTAGGCGGTGGCTTAAAAAGCACACCGTAGCTCAATGTGGGAGAATGATAGTAATGGCTAAGCCAATAATTTGGAAGCTAAAAATAAAAATAACTTTATTACAATTCTGATCTGTCCTATGTTAAACCCATACCCTATCGTAAGAAGGAAACTTATTCCAGCTAAAATCTGATGGACAGTGCTTGGACTTCAGATTAAACAGACAAAAAGAGAGGAGCTCATTCATAAAATGAACTCAGTGTCTTCTAGTTTTACTGATGCTTCCTATAGAGTATTTTAGTTGTATTGACTACACTATATATTACTGTGCTGCGAAGTGCTGTTCTCTGGAAATGCAGCCTCTAACTATAACCACAATTGACAAGTTTATTTCTGTTAGTTACAAACTACTGAAACATTGCATTCTATGGTATATATAGCAAGCAGCATATTTCACAGTGGGAGCCTAATACTCTTGCTTTAGGAGTAAGTAATTTTACACAGGAAAATATATTTTTATATATTTTCCAAGTTTGGAAACTTGTGTTGATTTTCTAAGCGCGTGTGAGTGTGTGTGTGTGTGTGTGTGTGTGAATCTTACTGACTTTTTAATGGGGATGAAGTGAGACAAGTGTGAAGGCAGGGAGGATTAGATCTATTATTTCCTAGAATAACAAGGGGGAAGGCAGTTCAAAACATGATTAATGGAAAAGCTAAAATATACAGCATCAAAGATGACTTTGATTTCTGTGTTTTCATATAATTTGGTCCTTAAATCGGGATTATGGTTTTATTATCCCCTTCTCTTGTTTTTTCTTGCCTCTTAAAATTGAGAATTCTTGGTTGTTGAAATTGAACTTTGAATTAGAAGGCCCAGATCAGTCTAGAAAAGCAAATAAATGAACCAGTGATGGGGTCAGGCCTTTGGGGCTTTGCTACTGCCCTGCACCAAGAATGTAGAAATGCCACTTACTTTCTCAAATCCTCAGTCTATTTGGGAGTCATTCCCAGTTGTTTTATGCAATTATTCATGATCTTCCAAAAGGTGAGCAATTCACTTCAAGGGTGCCATTAGGCCACTTGAATGTCATAAATTATTTCATTTTGAAAAAGTCTAAGTGTGTGCCTTTTACACAAAAAATTTGACTTCCATTTTCTATTATTAGGTACAAAAGAAGTTGTGAGAGAAATAATACTCCCTTGATACTCTCTTGGACAAATGGATATTAGAAAATCTACAATAGTTAATCTGAGGAAATTGGTTTCTCTAAACTCCTCCTTCAGTTAGCATTAATAAAAAATGAAGACAGTGCTGAGTGAATTGCAGGGCCCTGGCTTCTGAACTTCAACCTACCGTCATGTAATATCTTATTCCAGCTCTTCCTGGATGCCCTTGTTTGTCTTTAATATACAGGCGCCTGATGACCTGCAAATAGTGAGGTTTTGGGCTGACTGGCCATAGCAATCCACTCAACATTTCAAGTCCAATCATGGCTGCTTAGATTCCCTCGTCCATCCCAGTCAGTGGTGACTGAATATTGTGTACAATAATGTCTTTAGCTGATATTATGCAGCATTTGAACAACTAGTTAAAATGTGGGAAACAAGCCATCTAGAGTTTTCCTTTTTCACTGAAATCACAGTTGTTTTCGTATCCCAGGTATTGACCTGGCCTGTATTTACAAACCTAGAGAGCCTAATGGTGATCTCATTAACTTTTACTGTTACTTACTTATTATGGGTCCTATAATCTGTTTGTATCACTCCAAAATTAATATGCTAAAATCCTCACCCCCAAAGTGATAGTATTAGGACATGGGTATTTGGGGAGGGGATCATGACATGAGAGTTGAGCCCTCATGAATGGGATTAGTGCCCTTATAAGAAGAGGTCTGAGAGAGACCCCTCACCCCTTCTACCATGTGGGATTAGAGTAAGAAAACAGTTTTCTATGAGGAAATGGTCCCTCACAAGATGCCCTTTATGCTGTGCATTGATCTCGAACTTCTGAGGCTCCCAAACTATGGGAAACAAATTTCTGTTGTTTACAAGCCATGTTGGTTATAGTATTTGTTATAGCAGCCCAAGTAGACTAAGACAATGGGAAATCTGATTCTCCCCCACCCCAACCAAACTACATATTATTATGAGTCAAGGTTCATAGTTTCAAGGAGCAGAGGAGAGAACATGATTAGATCAGCATTGAGGCACTGTTTCCTTGCCAAATATCCCCCAAAAGGCCTAATTTGGAAATCCAACTACTCACGATTTGAAAGATACTGACTTTGTAGAAGCTCTGGTGGTTGGGTCATTCCACTCTGAAAATAAAATATATAAACAATTACTGTTCATGTTTCTACTGTCAAATGATTATTCTGAATTAAATTGGTCTCCAACCATGCAGTCCCCCGAGTTACCTTCTTGAGATAAGTAACAGATTTAAAAAAAAAAAAAAGAAAAGGAACCAATTAGATATATCATGGGACTGGAAGTCATTATGTTAAGTGAGAAAGGCCAGGTACAGAAAGACAAACTTTGCATCTTCTCACTTATTTCTGAGAGCTAAAACTTAACAATTAAAAAAACTTTTTGTTATTGTTCTTCTTTCACGTTTTAATGATTTTAAGTAGGAAAAAGGAAAAAATGAGGGAACAGAGAACATGGATGTTTGGACTAAGAAGGATTTTTCAAAACCACTTACTTTGTAAGGTGAATCCTGGGGTCAGATGCTGCGATTCCTACAAGGAAGAATGTATATGACACAAACATTAGTTAGATGACACAAGGAGAATAAGAGGCATGTTAATTATTGCTGAAGATATAGTTGACTAATGTTTGCAAATAGGAAACTGCTGTTAACAATTCCATTAATCAGGCTTTTGTCTATAGCTCTATTTGAAGGATAAACATTTGCCAGCCAAACCTGCTGCAACATGATCATAACTGCCATTTAATCAAAATTATAAGTAAGACTGGTATCTATTTGGAAATGTGTGTAACATGAGAACAAATGACCCATATGTGTGAAATTGAAGTGTATAATTTCTCACTTAGCTGGAAAATGATGCCTCTAAAAGAATAAAGAGGAGTTGGTTCAAACAGATGATCATGTTTTTTTGTAAAACTGTAAACAAGATCATCATTAATAGATCTGCTCGGTTTTTCCCTTTTATAGAAACAGATCCAACTTTCTATGACACATGTGCACAGATGTGCCTCATTTTGTATATAAGAAGTGTTCTTAAAACTGCATTGCAAGTCTATCGAAGTATAGGAAGCAATGTGAAATGTTAGTGGACTGTGTTATTTAAAGGAATTTAAATTTGACTTGAAAGTCACATTATACACAATTCATTCACTGTTTTGAGAAATTCAGATTTGCACATGCTGTCTTGCTGGGAGTGTGGCACACCTGTGTGGATACTGACAAAACGTTAAGGCAAAATCATTACAGTAACGTTCAGGGCACACATGGCACTGTGTGGATGGAAGATAAATGGTACAAACCGCAATACAGGCATTCCAAAAGTGGAGACAATGAATTCAAGTAAATACAAGAATTAGTTATATCAATTATTGTTCCAAGTAATCTATTTATTAAGCCTAATATTGACCCTCTGTAGATGAAAACTAGGCTCACAGCATTCTTTATCTTGTATAAAAAGTAAGCAAAAATTTTAACACTTTGCTTTAATCAAAAGTGAAATTTCCAATGTATTTAGTATGATTCTGTTGCTCCAGAGATTTATCTTCTGGCAAGATCACCACTCCAGAAGACTACCACAAACTCAACAAGAGGCAGAAAAGGCCTCTTAGAGAAAGAACTGTCTGTTGCAAAGCCCATATAGTTTGCTGCTCAGAAGCTTCTGTGCTCTCCCTGATAGAGAACTGTCTTTTGACAAAGGACTCAAATGATTCCCACTCATTTTCAAATCACAGATGGCAAGGAAGGGGAAATATTTCTAGAGGCATAGGCACTGAGAAAATTGACAGGTGAAAACCAATAGCAAAGGAGCCCACAAAAATGACACAGAAAAGTCTGAACTTAAAAAGCATAAGAATCTACAGTCATTTAATACAGAGGCAAGCATTCCCATCTGTCTTAATAGACTCCGAGAACATAATTGCAGCATAGTATAATATTACACATACTACAATAATTTACACTCACAATAATATATAAGTTATCAAGAAAGACTAAAGCATGCTTGACATAATCTTTAAAAGAAGTCAGGAAAACATTAATTACACTTCAAAATAATTTATATTGCATGATTCCTATAGAATAATAACTTTCAGTTATCCAATAATTTTAATTATCTAGAACATCTCATTTTCCAGAGTGTCAAATAAATGACTTGTTAACCATTTATATCTCTGTAACTATATACAAGTATTTTTATCTGTTACTATTTAAGGGATTTCATTACAAAGGTACAGGATGAGTTTGGGCTTGTATACCTCCAGGAAATTAAATGTCAAGTTCCAAAGTCAATTAAGCCAAATATCTGATCAGAGAGTAAAACATGTAGTCAGTCTTTGTACTGGTCTTATGCCTGAATTTTTAACCTTCATCCAAATATTTTGGGCTTTACACCTAAACAATCAGTTCTTCCAGAGCATCAGTGCAACAATGTATACAGCAAACTGGAACATTATGTTATTCACCGAATTGGAGTAACTGATATATATTCTGGATGCATTTTTTAATGTTAAACTGAATTTCACATTTCTTTGTACTTTATTTTTTAATTTTTACTTTTTTTGGTACACAGTAGATGTATATGTTTATGAGGTACATATGATGTTTTGATTATTATGCATTGGATTTCACATTTCTTAAACTAGAAATCAAATCAAAACAAATGAAACACCTTTGTATATCACCAAAGTTACTTTACATACATATCCAACACCAATTGGAAATAGCTTGGTTGTAGAAATAATCTGCAGAGTTCTCACAGTAATTGTTAATGCACAACAAACAATACAAATTTATTTTAAATGCCTGATTTTGCTTTATGAATTTCTTTCATAGACATGTCATATACGTAATTTTTGCAGTAGAATATACTGATGCCAAGTTGTTTTCACAAACTTATGAGGTTCTTTTAAGCAATAGCCTTGACAATAATCCTAATATCAGAAGTTCCTAAAGGATCTAGATTCTAGAGCAACGGTCAGCTAACTTTTCCTGCAAAGGGCCAGAGAGTAGATGTTTGAGGCACTGGGAGACATACCATCTCTGTCATAATTACTAGACTCTGCCATTGTAGTGTGAAAGCAGTCATGTACAATGCGTAAATAAGTCGGTGTGACTGGATTCCAAGAAAGCTTGATTTATAGACACTGACATTTGAATTCCACACTCATGCGAATATTATTCATAATAATATATTAATTTTCTTTTGAAAATGTTAACCCTTTAAAGACATAAAAACCTATGGGCCATAGTTTGCCCACCACTGTTCTAGAGGATGTTTACCTCCAGGAAAACTTTATTAAACTTCTTCTGAGGATATTATTACTCTCTCAATTCTACTTGGCATGCATTTAACTCCCTTCCTTGTGAAGTTTTTCATCGTCTATGAGAAAACATGGTATTTTCAATTTGAAATTGATAAATAAGTTAAGTTGAAAATTTTCAACTGTATTTGTTTTAGTAAGCTTACAGAATCATCAACTATTTGACCTAAAAAAATCCATTGGAATTATATAGTGTACACACACACACACACACACACACACACACACACCCCACGCCCCAATACAGATGGGGAAACAGAGACTTAGAGGAACTTGAACAGGACCACACAGCAAGCAAATGGCAGTGCCAGGATTAAAAGCAGCTGGGAATACAGCTCTTAAGACAGCACTCTTTCCTCCGGGCAAGCTCTGTCATGGATGTAAGAAACTGATGCTTTCTGAAAGGATGCTGCCACCTAGTTCTAGTGGAAGCACTGAGGAAAGGGAAATCACCTTTGTTGCATATAGGGATGGCCATGTTTTGGAAGACACAATTTGAACTGGGGCATCAGTAAGCCTGTGTGATAAAAGACATACAGAGAGACAGTATGACCGCTGGTGCCAGAAACACCTGGATCTAAATACTGGTTCCCTCATTCATTAACTGGATAATCCTGAGCACATTACTTAACTACCAGGTTTCTTCCTCTGTAAATTGGGGTAGTAAAATTAACAATCTCTTTGGGTTGTAGTGGGGATTAAATTCTTTACTATATATTAAGGGCTTAGAATGACGTGAGGCACATGGTGCCATTGTACGTGTTGGTTGTTATTTAAAATGTACTTTTCTTTCAAACCAACATTTTGGCAGGAATCAAATGAAACAGGAGTGGGTGTGTAGACTTCTTGCTTTCACCATTTTAGCCCACTCACTTCTACGTTTGTCATGGGGTTGATGGTAGCACAGATAATTGGCAGAAAATGCAAACTGTGCCTGATTCCAAATTGTGCACTTACTACAAAAGTCCATTTAAACAACAGTTCTATTGTATACACTTGCAAATGTCAAAATTGCAACTTGCACAAATTATCTCCAAAATTGGAGAACTCAGCTGAAAACACTGCAATTGCTGTACAAGTGTTGGACCTGAACTGGATGGATAACTCCCTTTGCTGGAGATGCCAGGGGGAAGGATAACAGGAGCCTAAAGAGGGTAGGTGAGAATGCAAAAATGAATAGCACACACCCATACTGGGACAGTGAGGTTAGCTGTTCATTTAGTTCTGACCTCTTTCATGAGTGAAGGAAGATCATTAAGCAAAGTTTAGACCAGTATTACTGTCAAAATCATGACCCTAAAATCTAAGGGTTTCTCCTTTGGGTCTTTCTCCTTCTACAAATAAAATCTAAACTCTTTGAGGTGGTATCCGAGGCATTTTCCAAAGATGCACCTATTTGCCCAGGTTTCCTCTCTTTCCACTCCCCATCACACAAACTTTAATCCTGCCACTTAAGACCTTATATCACCATGCATTACAGCATGATCCCTCATCTCTCATGACCTTGCTCACGCTAGTCTTCTACATGCGGTATTCTTCTCTTGGCCCCTTCTTCACCCGTCAGAGTTTTAATCATCCTCTAAATGTTGCCACCTCAGTGGCAAGCACTTCTTCAACTCCCCACAGGAGTGTCTTGTCTTCCCTATGAAGACATTTACTACATTGTTTTGTGATCTACGTGATAGCATGTAGACGGTTTTTCTTCACCCCTAACTTTAAGCCCACTGTACCTTCTCAGTAAACAATTTCTGAATAAATGGATGGAAGGAAGAAACGAATGGAGGAAGAAAGGAAGACATTATATATATTTTTAAAGCATGTTAGAATATCCATGCCTAGGCATTTTAAAAACTGATGGCAATAAAGTAAATCTTACTGGGAGAAGGTAAATAAAAATAATATTAAACATTTGACAATAGAACTGCAGAAGGAAAAGCTCTGTCATTGTGATGTGGTGTTTTGTAAAGATCTGTCTTCTTGTGAGCAAGAACTGAGGTGATAAAAATGAAAATCAGTTCATTAAAGCGTATAGGTTTTGTAACTTAAAAATCTTGAACGTTGCTGTTCCATCATCTATTTGATATTTCTTAAGGGATTGAATATTTCTTATTCAATCTCTGTCTCATCTGTTCTAGACACAGTGACTTGGACGGTGGCAACACCCTATGGAGTAAGATATGCATGCCAATATCTGTGTGTATTTTGTCTTAAAGACTCACTTTCAATAAAAATTATTTTTATATTGCTATTCTGAGGGGCAAGAGAGAGAGAGTTGATATTTTATGGCACTAGAAGACCAAGGCCATTTTTGTCACTGAGAATCCAACTGGAAGATTGGTATAATTAAAATAAGACAAAGAAAAATGCAGGAAGGAAGAGAACTGACCTGTCCTGGGATGGAAAATGTGTTCTGCTCAGAGTGTCCAGCAGTATGCATGGAAGTGAGAGGAGTAGGCCAGGAATGGGTCATCTCCTAATGAGGAAAAATAAAGCAACTTTATTTCAGGGCACATAAAAAATCAAGCCCTTTTTTGGCACTAAACAGGGTAGGTCCTTTATAAATACTAACTTAATTGACCTAATATTTAAGGTGAATTTAAAATCATTTGGACCATCCAGCAGATGCTTGCACACTGCCAGTGACAGGGAGCTTGCTACTGCTTGAAGCAGTCTGCTCCATGTTGAGACAGCCTGATCAGGCTATTTTTCCTTCTTTTGTAAGTTAAAAACTTGTTCCCCAGGAAGTTCTACCTATATATTGTATTTTGGAGCTGCACAGAATGCATCTCCTTCTTCTTTTGAATGACAAGCCTTCAGCTGTTGGAAGATAGTAATCCTATCCCCCGGCATTGTCTCTTCTCCAGGTTGAGACATTCTCAGCTTGTTCATTCATTTATTGGGAACCTTCAACTTTTCTTCTAACGCTCAATTTCTGTACTCTTTCACTATCTTTGGTGCTTCCAGGAGGAACTCCAGATTGCCTGGGGCTCTTCTAACTCATGGTATCCTGTTCCAGGTGTGATCTGTCAGCTCAAGGGAGGACAGTACTGTCACCGCCTTCTGATACTCATCTTCTCTTGATACAGCCCAACAGGTAGTGACCCGTGATGCACATACTGTGGGTTTTTCCATGCAAAGATGAAGCTGCTGAGCGGAATTCTTCCTCATTCATAGAGGTTACTATGTGATTGGTAGCCCAGTTACACACAGCCATACACATAGACGGTATATTTGTGAGTTCAAGTCTCAAAACAGGAAAAGCCCCTTAGGCTCCCACCCTCTGCTATCAGCAGGGGCACCCTCTCAGCTCTTTCAAATACTCAGTTTGAAAGAAGTGCTGTTCAAATCTTACTTGAGTCTTAGGGCATGTGGCCAACATGCTTTACGCTAAGAGCAAGGATAATTGAATCACATGCTCAAAATCACAGCAACAGAAAGATGATAAGTTTTGTGAAGCAGGAGGGAGTCAGTATGTGTTGGAGTCATCATTTTCTTATATAAACATTAAGCATTAAAAAAAGTCATGATAGAAATAAAGTAGGGATTTGGGGAGGGATGGAGGGGATCGAAATTTATGAAAGTCTTTTTTAATAAGTTACATAATACCTGTTTTATTTTCCAGTTTTTATAAGTAACATAATTAGTCATTTCAAAGGTAATATTAATAAGAACTCTCAGGTAGCACTAAAACAAGGTTTTTTTCCTTCTATAATTACTCAGTTCAAAAAGAGTCTTTGATGTATGAAGAGCTGTAATGCAAGGAGATACTTCAAAGATTCATTCACAGTGGCACTGCTGAAGCAGAATTTGTAAGTATTATTCAGACAAAGATTGAATTTTACCTAGCACTATTTAAAAAGGAGGAGGTAAGTACATTAAAAATGCATACACAATTTAGAGGAGATACTTAACCTACTTAAGAGATAGACTACTTCCAAGTGTTTTTGAGTTGTGCATTTGTATCCAGTTGATAAAATTCATGACAAATCCTACTCATGTATTCATCAAAACTGGCTGCAAAGTAAATATATGTGACAACAGTTTAAAGTTGAATTCTAATTACTCTGAGTTTTAAAAATACTCAATGATCTCTTTTACAATTTAGATGGTTTTTCCTGAGTAAGGCTGGTCTCCAAAACAGTCAGATCATTTAAAATATATAGCTTGGGATGGGGGAGATATTGGTATAAGGGTACAAAGTTTCAGTTTGAAGGAGCAAGTTCTGAAGATCAGTTGCATAACATGGTGACTACAGTTATTTATAGTAATAATGTGCTGTATACTTGAAAATTGCTAAGCCAGAGTTTAAATTGTTCTCACCATAAAAAAAGTATCTGAGGTGGACTGGGTGCGGAGGCTCACGCCTGTAATTCCAACACTTTGGGAGGCTGAGGTGGGCAGATCACGAGGTCAAGAGATCAAGACCATCCTGGCCAACATGGTGAAACCCCGTGTCTACTAAAAATACAAAAATTAGTTGGGCATGGTGGCATGTGCCTATAGTCTCAGCTACTTGGGAGGCTGAGGCAGGAGAATTGCTTGAACCTGGGAGGCAGAGGTTGCTGTGTACCGAGATTGTACCACTGCACTCCATCCTGGTGACAGAGCGAGACTCTGTCTCAAAAAAAAAAAAAAAAAGTTTGTGAGGTGATGGATATATAAATTAACTTGATGTAATCATTCCATGATGTATATACATATCAAAACATCATGTTTTACCCCATAAGTATATACAATTTTTGTCAATTAAAATAATTTTTTTTCAAAATAAATAAAATATAGTTCATATTTAGCCAGAGTCAATAAAACAGCAGTAAGTCTCTTCCAGGAAAAGGAGTGTTGTCTGTTTTCAGCAACTACTGGGTATACCTAAATTGATTAGAGGCTTGGTTTTATCCCCTTTCACCACTGATTTTAGAGGTGTGTCTCTGGGTTTATTGAAAGGTGTTTCAGACACCGGGAAGAATCAAGTCACTTCTCAAAGGTGTACCATTTCCCCTAGGTTTTCTGTGTTTACTCGGAGGCAGAATCTGATTATCTTGAACTACCAGTGGAGTGCACCACCCTGTTAGCCAATCCACATGGAACTGCACAAACTTCTGCATTTACAATTACAACTGATTTCAAACTGTATTTGAAAATGTGAAACTTCATGAAACAGCACAGAGTCCATGTTACCGCTGATGCATTTGATTACAGTAGGCAGGATGTAGTTGAAAGGAATATAATTTCCTGAAAGAATATCTTCTGCAAAGGACTCTGGAGAAAGCAAGCTCTTTCACTTCTCAAAATGAGTTAGACTTGTAAAGTGTGGCATGCTCACGGCAGATATTCCATTGTTATCCTTTTCATTAACACTTGAAGGATATTAATCTATTTTATGTTCTTGCTATTCCTAAGATAAGACGCCTGTGCATTCTTACCCAACTTTACTAATCCTTCACCCAGTCATGAAGTAGGGATGAACCCCTGCTCCCAAAATGTTGCCACAGCTTTTATAACAAGATCCAATGATGAGTACCTGTATACAACACCAAGAATCACTTCTGTTTTAACAAAAATAAGTCACACACACACACACACACACAAAAACACACACACAAACACACACACACACAAACACACACACACACACACATCTGAGACTGGTCTGAACTTCCACAAAGAAGCACGGATTTATGTTTGGGATCCTTTGATACTTTGAGAGAGAGAGAGACAGAGAGAGAGAGAGAAAGCAAGTAGGGATTCATATTCTTAATGGGCAACTGAGGTAATGGGGGTTCCAAGAGGTGAGGTCACTTATACACAGCCTTACATTTAGTAGCAAGTGAAGGTTGATTACTGGTACAAGAGTACACACTTTCCACTATAACAAATATGTGTCCCTTTGTAAGATTGACTAACATGGATAATGAAGAAAAGACTAAGGAATACTGTTTTATCTTTTAGTATTTAGCAAAGAATAGATTTCATAAGTGATAGAGCATTCTACATAACTTCTAATAATAGGAAGACACTTAAATTAATGTGATATGAAGACTCCAAAGTCAAACCCCACAAAATCACAAAAGGCTCAATTTTCCACCATATTATCCATACAATAGGTCATGGCTAGGAGTCAAAACAAATCCAAAACCACTTGCAGGTATCCTTGCTTTGCCCAATTTAGACAAAAAAGCTGGGTATGTCACAGGCTGAAGGGCAAAAGACAGTCTGTGTTCCAGGCTTTGCTAATCTCAAATGGATCCTGTACTCATCTAACACACAGCTACCTGAATAGCTGTTATCTCAAGTAACTAGTATGTTGTCACAAGCTTTACCTTATTCACCTTTGTATCTCTCCTGCCTAGTGTGTAATAAGTAATTGGTTGGTCTTTTTGTACCAGAAACTAAACAGGCAGGGATTAGCCTCACACTCTTTTCACAGACAAGAAATCGAAGCACAAAGAGGTAAAGTGACTTGTCCAAGGTCACACAGCAAATGGCAGATCTGTTTGGTGGATTCTTTGCATTTGTTCTACTAATTTTTTTTTTTTTTTTTTTTTTTTTGAGATGGAGTCTCACTTTGTTGCCCAGGTTGGAGGGCAGTGGCGCCATCTTGGCTCACTGCAACCTGTGCCTCCCATGTTCCAGCGATTCTCCTGCCTCAGCCTCCCGAGTAGCTGGGACTACAGGTACGTGCCACCCTGCTTGGCTGATTTTTGTATTTTTTAGTAGACACAGGGTTTCACCATGTTGGCCAGGCTAGTCTCAAACTCCTGACTTTGTGATCTGTCTGCCTCGGCCTCCCAAAGTGCTGGGATTACAGGCGTGTGTAGCCATTATAAGCCAGTCACTGGGACATGGAAAGGATAAAGTCAAGGACCTCTTTTTTAAGTCAAGGACCTCTTTTTGAAGTGTTCACTGCCTGACATGTGAATCACCTTCAGAGGGGAATGAGCAAAGGTGCAGAGAACAAGGTGGTGGGGAAAGTCACTGTTCTAGGCATTTGGAAAAGGCTTCAATAATTGAAGTGAGAGGAGCAGTGTTTGTGAGCACACATGTGTGTTATGTGTGTGTGAGTGTGTGTGTATTCCTTTTACAGGCTATCATTATACCTGGCACATAGTAGCTGTTCAAATGGTGTGTTTAGGTTAAGCATAAATATTAAGATACTTACTGCAAAAGAACTCAAACTGAAGAGATGATTAGGGTGATTTTTCAAATGACCACCTTAATGAATGCTAATGATGATGATAGTTCACATATTTCATTGTTGTTGTGATACTCAGAGAGAGCCCCAAAAGCAACTTGGACTAAGTATTAAGATAGGGAGAACTTAACTCAAGCCTAGCTCTGCCAAAAGCTATGTGGGTGGCCCTGGTCAAGTTGCTTGTCCATTCTGGGCCTCAGCTTTCCTGCTTATAACATGTGGGCTTTGACTCGGATGGCCTCTAGTTCTCCCAGTTAGCAATACTGTTCATCTCTGATTCT